GCGTTCTAATAGCATCTTTCCTCAGAAGATAGTGTCATTTGCTATTTTGTATATTCATTTTTTATTATTCTTCCTGTTGCAGAGTCACCCTTACGGATATTTCATACTCACAACTTAGGGAGATATAGTACATCCTTCCTTCTCATTCTTATCATCGGCTTCATCAGCATCATTCCCCGCTGGGCCTCATCTCGCATCGAATCCCTCATCCAGCGAGCATCTCCGGGCATCGAGTAGCGACTAGTCTCTCCGACACACGCGCGGATATAAGCTTCGACTTTGAATCTGCCGCAAAAGGTCAAAAACTCTGAAAATCACCTCGGGGCAAATTAACTTTGGCGGATTCTGTTCCTTTCCTTTCTTGATTCGAATCGTTCGGAAATCCGGCTTCCAAGCACTGGCGGAAGGTTGTGAGCAACTTGGGGTCTCTCCTCTTTCACTCGCCCTCATCGACCACCAATTCTCTTCTTTCCGTATAAACAACAGCGGCGTCCGATCAAACTTCCCTCGGAAAACATACTGACAGCCGTAAAACTGGAGACGGGGAGGATCTTTGGATATCGTACGCGCCAAACGTGCGTGCAGAGAGTCGTATAACATCGCGGCATCGATTCGAACAGAAGATACCCGAAGAACAGTATAAAGTATGTCGCCTTCCGCTGAAGACCACACGATTAGTAAAACGAACGGCTCCGCCAACGGGACGACCAGCAATCATACTCCTGTTCGTGAGACTTCCGGCAGCTCAACCTTCACCGCTGTCAACGGAACCTCAAACTCGACTTCGAATCCGCGGCCGGCGGACTCAATCCGAGTCGCGGGGCCTTCGCCCCCTTCAGGGCAGACACAAGCGCCGGCACCAGCACCTGCCCCAGCACCACCCCAGGCGCACTCTCCCAGCCATCAACTCCAACTTCAAAACAACCACCACAACCACCACCACCACCACCACAACGCGCATCACAACCATCGGAGCCAGACTGCTTCTCACGCTTCCCAGTCTGGCAGCGGGGACGAGGACGCCGGCGACCATAGCGATATCACTGGATCGAATCTGCAGTCTCCCGTGACCCCGAATTCTCATCCCGACCCAAAGTACGCACAGGCTGCTGCCGATATCAGGCCCCTATCTGTACGTCCTTCAGGCAGCCCCGAGGGAAATATTCAAAAACGGAAGAGATCGAATTCTGCCGAGGCTGCGAACCGTGCTGAAAACTACGGCCAGATCCGGGAAATGTCGACTGAGGTTGTCCAGTACCATGGCCACAGTATGCCGATGACGAACGATACCCGTATGGTGGACGTATCTGATGGACCCCGGGACGATATGATGCCGGACCGCCATGCCCCTGAGCACATCGCCCAGAGGGCCAGTGAGGAAGCCGCCAAGTTGGAGGACCTGCGAAGCCGGGACCCAGCCGTCTTCGAGGCTCACGTGGCACAGCAACTCCAAGGGACACCACAGAGTGACCATATCCGTTCATACAACCCCAACATGTCCCCAAACATGAGCACTATCAACGGGAACGGTCCGACTACTCCTGGTCAGCCTGAAACCAAGCGGAAGCGTATCTTTAGCAACAGGACAAAGACAGGCTGTATTACGTGCCGAAGGAGGAAGAAGAAGTGTGATGAGGGCAAACCTCATTGTTAGTACAAACCGACCTCTTTTGATATTTATTTTTACCATATGAAACAACTAACGGGTATGGCAAACACCAGGCAATAATTGCAAGCGTGGAGGGTTTACTTGTGGTGGATATGCTGGTAAGATTAATCCCTTTGTGGGACCACTCACTCCCACCGACGCTCCCGGCCATCCTCAACATCTATATAACGACGCCGCGTCAACCAACTCTGGTGCATCCGGCTCCCTCTTTGCACGAGGCCAACAAGCTGATTCGATCTTGGCAAATGGTCCAGCTCCTATTAATGCCAGTTTTGCTACCATAACCACTCCTGTTATGAGAGCACCCCAAGAACGTCCAGTTGTAAGTACAATATATTTTGCCACCTCGACTACGTCCTCGGTCTTTAAGTCTTATATCTTCCTACTAGCAACTCCCCCCACCCGAATATACTCGCCATCAGATCGCTCAACCTGCCCAGCCTCTCGTGATCCAGCAGACAACCATGCCACCCGAACCAAAGCCATTCGGCGCTACAGGATTGTCGCTCTCCGGCCCTGCCCCTCCACCACAGATCCAGCCTATTCGACGGGATTCCGGTGTCAACCAACATCTACCAGGCCCCGAGCCACCAAAGCCTCAACAAAGTCAGGTTTCTCCATTCTCTGGACCACGAGTTCCACCACAACCACCACTCCCTCAAAGATTCTCTTCTACCGAGAAGGAAAGGATGCTTAATGGTGATCTTTTCCATGCATTTACGCCAGAGTTGATCGAAGAACGAGAGAGATGCCGCGCTGCCTGCTGGAGATTCAACAATGCTGCTAATCCCACATTGTGTATCTCACGAGAGGAGAAGTTGCGTCTACAGATGGAAATATTTAGACCATCTGCTGGAACCAGAGGCCCTCAAGGGACCGCTTGGCACGGTGACATTGCAAACGCTCATCTGAGGAAGAATTTGGGCATGCAGGATCCCGTCTACCCGGTCAACGAGGAGCCCTGGATCGAAGTCCCCTTCATGTGTGACTACGGTTACAATATCACTCTTGGCCCTGGTGTCTTCATCAACTTTGGTTGCACCATCATCGACACCTGCTCTGTAAGACCTTTGAACCCTTCATCCCTTAAAATCTTGACTAACCGTCAAATCAGGTGACAATTAAAGCCCGAACTCTCATCGGACCCAACGTCAACATCTACTCGGGCACTCATCCACTCAACCCTAGGACCCGTAACGGGACTAAGGGCCCCGAATTCGGCAAGCCAGTGATCATCGAAGAGGATTGCTGGATTGCCGGAAACGTTACTATCCTGTGAGTATTCCTCGCCAGTTTTTCCTTAAATCAACCCTGTATGCTAACATTTTATAGTCCTGGCGTCAAAATCGGCATGGGTGCTACCGTCGGCGCTGGCGCTGTTGTCACCCGGGATGTCCCTCCCCATACCGTTGTCGCAGGAAACCCTGCCAAGGTCATCAAAGGTATCATGGAGCACGAGTAAAGCTCGTAGCTCTAACAATCGAATATACGGCGTCCGGGCTAGCCCTTACCCGCAACCTTGCGGTTGTCAGCGCGCTGCCCTCACGATATTCCTTCTCCCTTTTTTCTCACTTCATTTTAATCTCATATTTCCTTTCATCTCCTAATCATCTCTTCATTTCCTTCTCTTTAATCTCCTTGCTGCCGTATATGTTATTAAAACTTGTACTCTTCCCATTGTAACGGCCACTTTGCACGGAAATGTTTTAACGACAAAAAGAAAATCTAGGGTCGGGGAGTCATGCGGAATTCGTCTGGCGTTAATCGTTTCCTAATTTTCATCATGCTTTTCCTGCATGTCGTTTCCTTACTACTACTACCACCACCCCTTTCAGCCGGTTTGCAGAACACTGTGCTGTTCATCTAATAAACCACCCCCGAGGAAAACCCCACCAAGGTTTTCTACCTGATCTGATTTATGAGACAACTTTCTTCCTCTACCCTTCCCCCATTCACAGTACATTTGTATTTTTTTTCTTACATAATTTTGTTCCTACTCCGTTCTGTCTTCTTCTTGTTTATGGGATGTTTTGTTTTCTCTCAGGCTTGTGCTTTTATGGGTTGAATTCCGCATGACTCGTCGACGTTAGAAGGGCGTTAATTCTGTTACACTTTGGAATGATTATACACCAAAAACAAATCCTTCCTGTTTTGCATCTAATACATGTCTTTTTTCTTGATTGCCTTGAATTTTTTCTTGTTCTTCTCTTTTCTTTAAATGTACAGAGATCCAGGGTCACAAAAACGGAGATCCTTTTTACCTCTTCGAAAGTTCCAAAGCGAGCGAGCAAAGCAATTTCTTCTCTCTATGTTCTCGTCCAGCTATAACATGGACGCCAACTAGCCTGTCTCTCTTGGAACTTCCACGTTCCTCTTTTTTTTTTTTTTTAACTTTCTCTTGTCAATTTACCAACCTTTTTTTACCCATGTAGACATGCCAACCGCTTTCTTTCTGTCTCTCTCTCTCTATCTCTTCTTGATTTTAAAAAATACCAAAAGGCGGAAACGAGTCTTCCAGGAAACCTTTCTATGTTGGGTTTTTTGTACATCGTTGGGTTTCGTGGAAGACTTCCTTTTTGAACCTCTTTTGCGCAAATCTCTTTCTCCTTCTTCACACGGCGGTGATATTATTGTGATATGTGCGCCTATTTTTTCTCACCAAGCTCGATACTAGCGTAGCTTTTATCACTGCTCCCTTTTGATATATATTTTTTTTGTTTTGTGAGATGCTCGACCTTGATGTTTCTGGTTGATGGGTCTTACGTTTTTTTTTTTTGTCTTAAAGACGCGACGCTCTTTGTGTATGTACTTATGTATGTATGTATTTATGTACATTCCTTGTTTTTAGAAAAAAAATACGATCCTTTCAGAGTATTTTGTGGTTGTTGTTAATTGGGGTTGTTTGTGGGAAGAGGAAGAGGGGTGTAGATTGGCCCCCTGACATAGAATGCACTGAAAGGTTGGTATAATTGTTCTAGGGATGAGAACTCACTGGGTTTATAAGACGATATAGCTGACTCGGGGTCCTGTCATCGGGACCTAAACTTTGGTGATGATGTTGGGAGAGATAGTATTGGGCGAAGACGGCCTGATGCTTCTCCTTTTTATTGGTGGTCACTTTCGACTGCCAACCCACCTGTAGGAATGTCTGTACTGCTGGGCTCCCTAGTCGAATGCGCATAGTTCTACCACAATGTTCTTCTATATCACTGGCTTTGTATACTACCACCGCACGTAGCGGCTGAAATCTAGATATAGATAGTAATACGCAGCAAAAACATTATATTCGCCTATATAACCCACAAAGACTTATCCCTTAATAAAAAGTACAGTCCGCGTAGAGTAGTGGTCATCTCGCCAGAATCACAATCCTTATTTCCCCGTTGAATAATCGATGGGAGGAGTAGAGTTTGTAGAACTCTGGATATCGTCGGTTCGAACCCGACCGCGGGCAAGCTTCTTTTTGCCTTTCCAGGCTACAAGGTTGCTCAGTTGTTTCTCTCTTTTTTTTTGGTTTTGGGTTTTTTGGAGTGGATTGGTCGAGATCGCGATGGTGGTTTTGGATCGGCCGATGCGGGTGGTTGGTGTTGTTTTGTTACCTTTTGGCGGGTGGGCGCAGCGGGTTGCCGTTTATTTGGTAGTATTGAGGCGGGAAGCCGGTGGATTGCATTTAAGGGCAAGGCAGAGGAGAGCGCCTCCCAGACTGGCTTAAACTGATTGTTTAAGTGCATTTACAGGGCCATATACTACGGTGCCATTGCATGATCTTGACGATGGTATCTTACAGACTTGGTGGCTAGATTATTACTAGAGCTATAGAGCATACATTCTAGGCTGCTATATGGGCTGTGTGATATATACCGACGCTTGACTGCACGGTAGTTAGCTTGAGGGCTCCATCCAAGCATATGGATTCCCGGTATGGACTGAAGCTATATACTGGACAGGAGTAGACCCCCTCATAGCCCTGTGCTTTGGGGTTTTACATTATCAGCATGGTCTTGTAATCACGACTATATCAACCGCCAGAGCTTGTTATATCACAAACGCAAAAAGTCAGTGCGATGTGATGCGAGGTTGGTTCGAAATCTGGATTATTTGTTGTCGCCGTTGCATTTTGTGCGTTGCGTTTGTCCACGTGACGTTGTCTCTGGCCAATCAGAAGCCGGCGATTTCATTTGTGACGGCATGGGTCCACTTATCTTCCGCTAACCTCAACCTCCAAACTCAAACCGAAGGAAACACCCGCCAGATGTTATAACGCCCTTCCACCCCCCCCAGTCGCCACTCTTCGCCCCCCTTCATCCCGCCGCCGTCCCTTTCTCTCTCTCACATCCTGGGCCTTCCGTTATCATACAACATCTCCGCAATGGCCTCGATAATACCACGACGTGCCCTGGCGGCTAGGAGCGCTGCTGCCGCCCTCATCCCTCGAGGTATGTTTCCTCCCCTCCTCCCCCTCGAACCCCCCATTGACCGCTAACTTTGGCCGGCCAGCATCCCTCGTCCCAGCTCTAGCAGCCCAACCCCACCGCGACTCCTCAAGTCTCTCAACCCAGCGACCCACCAGCGTCGTCAGACGCGAAGTCCCACTCCCGAGCCAGCAGAAACCCGAAGGCGTCGTCGATTACGCATTGTACGTCCTCACACCCATCTAACCCTCCACATCTCCCACTAACAACCCTACCAGAACCACCCTCGACGCCATCGCAAACTGGGCCCGTCAGGGCTCCCTCTGGCCGATGACCTTCGGTCTCGCCTGCTGCGCCGTAGAAATGATGCATCTCTCCACCCCACGCTACGATCAAGATCGTTTAGGAATCATTTTTCGCGCTTCGCCCCGTCAATCGGACGTCATGATTGTTGCCGGCACGTTGACGAATAAGATGGCCCCCGCGTTACGACAGGTGTACGACCAGATGAGCGAACCGCGCTGGGTCATCTCCATGGGCAGCTGTGCGAACGGTGGTGGGTATTACCATTATAGTTACAGCGTTACGAGGGGTTGCGATCGGATTGTGCCGGTGGATATTTATGTGCCTGGGTGTCCGCCTACGGCTGAGGCTTTGATGTATGGGATTATGCAGTTGCAGAAGAAGATGAGGAATACGAAGGTTTGTGTTTCCTTTTGCTCGCTGATGGTGGTTTGGGATGCTGACTGTGGAATTAGATTACGAGAATGTGGTATAGGAAGTAATTGACCCGTAGCTCGATGGAGACACAAGTTACTTCGCACACCTCTCCTCCCCTCTATTATAGAGGGCAGGAACGGGGTTTTTGGTCATCCTTTGCATTTTTTTGTGTAAATATGTGTTTTAGGCTTTTTTTCATTCGGTTCTAAAGCGGTTTGTAGTATATCTTAAAAAAAGAGAAAAGATAACAATTTTTATAGAAGCTTAGAGGCAACGGTAGACTGAAGATATCGTTTCTTGGTCATACAAGTTCTGTTAGTAGTACGAGGAGAGTATTCCAGATAGACTAGTATCCCAATAGGATCCTTTGGGTAGCTTGTTCGCCCCATTTGTGACGTCTGGGAACGAGACCAGCTTGTTCATATATATCAAGTATCGAGACTGGTTTTTATTCAATCCGATCGTTATCCGTACAGTAGCATCGAGACCAGGCCCTCCCGGCCGCACAGATCTAAAGCTGGTGTACATACATCCCCAAAACCCGATGAAGATAAACGAGCACACGCTCCAACCATCAGACCTCGATCCTTCACGGAACCCAGTATACTACCAGCCATATTCTATATCAGTCCGTAATCTGCCCACCATCGACGTTTAAGACGCTTTAGCCCAGAGACCAGTTCACAAAGCTTTAGTTTCCAAGAGTGAAGATGGAGAGAAAACAAAGGATAGTATATATCATTCCATTTGGTATCACAGAAGTTACAAAAAAAAAAGAACCTAAGCAATAGTACAGTGAAGTCGGAGGAGAAGGATGCAGGATGGAGACGAGCAACAGCGCCCAGAAGAGGATGAGGAGCAAAAAAGACAAAGCATAAAAGGAAAATCCAAAAGAGCCGAAAAAAGAAATGCAATGCACGATTCCCTCCCGTGGACACAAGAACCCCTTTGAATCGAATGATAGTTGAACAAGTTACATATAAAAACAGGAGAAAGAAAAGAAAGAGAACCCCTTTAAAACATTTAGAAGAATATGCGCGATTTGAAGACAAATTCAAAAGGGCGGATATATCAAGAGAAAATCATCACCTTCTCTCTCGTTTTCATCCCCGGAAGAAGAGGTTCCCAGTTGTTGCCCCCGGATATAAAAACGCGTGGGAAGAACTTGGGTTGCTTTAGAAAGAGGAGGAGGAGGGAGGATAAAGCGGGTATGGGGAAGGGGAGAGGAGAGAGAGAGAGGCGCGGAAAAACATGTTATCTTACAAAGGAATCAGAATTGATAAGAAACGAGGAACGAGGAACGGGAAACGGGGAAAAGATATTTGGTCTCAGACCTGCGTTGACGTTTTATTCATCACGATGCCAATAAAACCTAGTAAGAGAAGAATAGACGATTTGGAGGGAAGCAGTGGGAAGGCTACCATCTGTTATCGATGGTAGCCTTCCACGTGCTTCGCCCCAACATCGTCGAGAAGCAAAAATGAAGAAAGGAAACAGATGAGATAAAGATCTCAAGACAGGCACAAAAAGGCGATTTGATTTAATCAAGCCTTTGTCTTGGTCTTCTTGGTGCCCTTTGCATCGGCAGCCCTAATAAGAAAAGCATGGGTTAGCGGGACTTCAAAGATACGTGCTTTTTGATGTGTACAAAATGCTAAACTTCAATTGGTAAAAAGCAAGTAAAAGGACGCTCGGCGACTGGATTCAAGCTCATCTCGTGATTCGGGACTTGCTCGGCGCTGAGGCCAACAAAATCAAAAAAAAACAATCAAAAAACCAAAGAAACAAGCATGAATTCGATGGGATATTCATTTTGTGTTTGTTTTTTTTGTATCTGTTTTGATGTTTTTTTTGTTTTGTTTTTCTCGCCGTTGGGTGGATGAATGCTTGGAGATGAACTTACTTGGTCTTTTTGGCTGCAGCAGCCTTGGGCTTTGGGCCCGGCTTCTTCTTGGTAGTGGCTGCCTTTGCCTTCTTGACGGCAGCAGCAACCACTTTCTCGACCTTCTCGGCCTTCTCTTTGATGACTGCCGTCTTCTTCTTCTTGGGGGCAGCAACCGGCTTGGTGACACCGGAAGAGAAGATCGTTCGAGGAACGACAGCGCGAGTAGATCGGCGAGTAGGCTCGGTTGGAGTGGCTGGCTTCTTCTTACGGCCAGGGCCAGATTTGGCGACAGTCGTAGCAGTATTGTTTGTGGGAGCCATTGTTATTGATTTTTTTTGATGTGAGAGTTATTGATGAGATAGGTTTGGATGAAGATAGTGTTGAGGTGATGAGCTTTGATCAGGAGATGAAATGTGGAGGAAGATTGGTTTGGTTGATAGGAGAAGAGGGGAGAGAGTTTGATAGTTGGAAGATGGAGAAAGTTGTCGGATATTGTTTTTTTTTTTTTTTTGCTTCCTCGCTCTTGCCTTTTAACGTTGGCGTGTGGGTGGAAAACAAAACCCAGCAGGGAAAGCTTTCTGATAGAGGCAAAAATAATTCCTTTGCGATCGGAAAAACAGGGAGATTTTTGCAGGAAGGGATTCTACGGATAACCGCGATGATGTTACAGATGGTTTCTTTGCTGGGAAAAAGGCAGGATGCTGTGTGTCGACTGTGCGATGGGAGCTGGTTGATGAAGTGAAGTGGAGTTGGTTGGGAAGATGGAAGTGAAGTGAGGTGGGAGATTGTTTGGGGGGAAAACTGAGGTGGCTGAATTCTGGCGGGGGGAAGGAAACCACATCAGCTTTTTATACTTCGCAGCAGCAGATCGACTGGCCGCTCTTTTTCCGCACACCTCTTTTTCTGTCTAATAAAATAAATATTCTATTTCTTATATTCTCCCACACCTTTTTTTTATATAGCAAAATTCACTTTTTATTTGTTTTAATTTGTTTTGTATTGTTCGGTGGTTTTAGAATGTCCACGTTTGTTTTGGTTTTTATCGCTCATCCGATGGTTCGATAGCTGCTCGAGTTAGATCCTGCGACATGGCAGCGGCGGCGGCTCTGGTAAAAGGAATCGTTCGAAGGTTCCATTTTCCGCACGTGTCGCATGTTGTTATTCTTTTGCGCCCGGCCCTAAATTCTGCTTAAACTTCTATTTCTTCTTCTTCTTCCTCCTCCGTCATAATCATATTCCAGTCGGCTGGACCTTGATATGTGCGGCCGTATGCAATGTAGGAGCCAGGTCCAGGTTTGTTAGCCGGTTGCGACGTGTACAAGCCTCCTGGGCCCCCCTCTTCACCGGCCTGGCTTTGCTCACCCCCATTGACCTTATGTTCCCTCCGATAGGGGAGATGCGGAGGTGGATGTGGAGTATATGTCCATCACATATTAG